GGGTGTTAGTGGCACTGGCGGCCTTGTATGGTCTTGAAATCCATCAAATGTTAAAACAACTTTCTTAAATGGAGAATTGAAGGAAGAAATTTATATGGAACAACCTGAGGGTTTTGTGGTTCCTGGTAAAGAAAGAAAAGTGTGCAAACTTGTTAAGTCGCGTTATGTACTTAAACAAGCACTCAAACAATGGCATGCTAAATTTGACCAAACAATATTGGCAAATGGTTTTAAAATCAACGACTGTGATAAATGTGTTTATATTAAAAACACTCCAGGTCAAAAAGTCATTGTTTGTTTATATGTTGATGACATGTTGATAATGAGCAAAGATATGGAAGATATAAATGCTACTAAGCGCATGCTAGCTAGCAAATTCGACATGAAAGACTTAGGAGTTGCTGATGTGATCTTAGCAATCAGAATTCACAAGACTCTACAAGGTCTAGCATTATCACTACATTGAAAAAGTACTTGACAAGTTCAAGTATTTGGATTTCAAGATTGCCAAGACTCTAATTGACATGAGTTATGCACTTTAAAAGAATGAAGGTGAAAGTGACTCACATCTGGACTATGCAATAGTATTGAGAAGGTTGATGTATATCATGAATTGCACGCGACCATATATAGCATGTACTATTAGCAAACTGAGTTGGTTTACAAGTAATCCCAATCAAATACATTGGATGGCAATGAAACGAATTTTGGGATATTTGAAACATACCCAAGACTATACTCTACATTATAACAAATATCCCTTCGTGATTGAGGGATATAGTAATGCAGATTTGATCACTGGATCATCTGAAGTTAAATCCACGAGTGGGTATTTTTTCACAATTGGTGGTGGATCAGTATCTTGGAAATCATCCAAACAAACGTGCATCGCCCGTTCTACAATGGAATTTGAATTCATAACTTTAGACAAGGCTGGTGAAGAAGCCGAATGGCTCCGGAATTTCTTGGAAGATATTCCATTTTAGCCAAAACCTTTGGCACCTATATGTATACATTGTGATAGTCAATCGGCAATAGGTAGGGCAGGGAGCGTTATGTATAACGAAAAATCTCGTCACATATGATGGAGACACAATACCGTTAGACAACTACTCTCTAGTGGTGTTATCACAATTGATTACATGAAGTCAAGAGATAATGTATTGGATCCACTTACAAAAGGCCTATCTAGAGAGGCAGTTGAAAGATCATCGAAGGGAATGCGGTTAAGGCCTAGGACAAGTCATCATGGCGGTAACTCTACCTAGCAGACTGGAGATCCCAAGAGTTAGGTTCAAAGAGATCAAACAAAGTTATGAATGGCGGTTCAACATTGTCAAATAACTCTACCCATTCTCGTAATGAAGGCAATGTTCAGAAATCAGGGTAAAGTATTAAGGTATTTTGATGAGTCAATAAAGCTTAAAGCTTCTTAATGATTTGCTAAGTCTGGCAGAAAATGACCAGATAGTGTGTCTATAGGATTACACATTTAGAAATCATCTATGTGAGTGTGAAGTATAAGCCGTTTCAAGGGGAATGAAAGTAAATGCCCATTCTCTAAGCACTCATTAAACCAGGCGGTGTTCATGGCTGAAACAAACACAACCGTGAGAACCATAGATGGTTAAGAGTTGATTGTGTGAATTATGTTGTCTAGGTATACAACAAAGCTCGACGGTTCAAAGATATCAAATCTACCGATTGACCGAGTATATCCGATATAAGTTCACTACAAAAAGTTCAAAGGCAAACCTACTTATCCAGATGCAATTTCATGTAAATCACACACTCGTCCGTGCATTGCTTTGTCTTATAGCCATTCCCCATTCATGTGGGGATTGTTGAAATTGAAGTTTGGTGAATGGGAAACACAGGGAAGAAATGTGAAGGGAAAGTGAGCTCCCTTATGCTTTGGAAATAGCAATTGTCCCTCATTGTTGGTGGAAAGAAAATTGAATGTGCTTAGATTGATAAAGCACTTCCCTTGGTGTTAAATGGGTTGGAAAGAAGGTAAGCATCGCGTCGTTGTCGGCGGCGCTTGCTCGGCTCGGCTTAGGATTCGGGTTCGGGTTCAGATTGGGTCAAAGATCGATTGATTGATTAACCTTTTTGGAATAAATTTCTTTCAATTAATTAATTAAATTAATTAACGAAAAGTCAACCCAGAATAACCCAGGACCCGCGAAACAAATATTTTAAACGAGAATCGTTCCCGCTTGTTCCAACAACCATGACTGATTCTGAAAGGTTGCAAACTTTTCATCAACAATGCCAGAAAATGGCTATAAATATGCCTTGGGTTCCTTACGAATTTTTCTGATCTTTTTCTTCTTCTTCTTCTGCACAAATAAATTCCAGTGTGATTTACAACTATTAAGTGATTCGCAGTTCATTAGAGTTGTTGGTACCAATACACTGATGAGTTAAGTCGTTCTATCGTGGGAGGATAATATTCCAACACCTCGGATACTTGAGGGGAATAATTTCCTTAAGGATACACTATGCATTCAGTGGGCTTGATTTCATTCTGAAATTATTTTCCAGATTCTGTTTGATTATTTCGATATTCTTTTACTGATGAAGTTTCTGTTTCAGAAAATTTACTGTTTCATAATACATTATAGTATTACAGTTTTGACTAACAGACAATTCTCTTCCAAATATTCTTTTTCAACCTCAACTTGATATTCTTTTTTAAACTTTAACCCATTATTTTTTTTGGTAATTAAAGAATTTTATTTACTAGGGAAAAGTAATAAGTACAAGCAAAGAACCAAAACCCAAAGTTGGACAGGACCCCAACTTGATAACAAAATAACTGCTAATCATCTAACCTCCCAGACCCACTGTTTCAAGAAAAAACAACACCTAATACAAGAATCTTAGGGTAGTAAATCAAATCTCGAGCTGGCTAGCAATTCTAGTGTTCCAATCTCCTCTATAAAGCACAACCTGCACAATTAATTTTCTAAGAACCTCGGGACTCCTCACTGCACAACTTAAACCAAATATTATTCTAGACCTATTCAAAAGCGTTGCACATGCATTTCGTCTGAATTTGAAGGGAATATTTTTGGGAATATGTTGTTATTTTTGTGACCTAATATTGGATCTAAAATGATTGAAACTTGTCATATATTTTGTATCACGATTCTTCAATGATTTATAAAACAAAACAAATTTAAAAGTAAATCTTTTGGCCTTTTAAAGATTTGGGAATGAAGAGGTTGGTCAAATAGCTCCTAAAATTGGACAAGCGACAAATATAAAATTAAGGGTGGCAATTTGAGTCCAAACTCATTTGATCCGTCCAACCCACCCAAGGTTGGTCCAGTCAATAACTCATTCATTTATTGAACTCAGTTCATCTTGACCCAGCTCATCTCAGCACATCTAAAGTTAGGCTATTTTTTTAGCCCAAATTGATCCATGAACAACTTTACAAAAATTTCTTAAAAATAATTATTTTTTGTTTGATATGTTATATATGACCATAACAAAAGAAAAAAAGTTTTATTTGATAATTAAACAATTAATAAAAAAATAACACACATTAATTAAAGCTTGATAAGAGCTGGACGGGTTGAGGTATGACTCAAATTTTAGCCCATCTTGACCCAGTACGTCTCAACCCAAGTAATTTTTGGGCGGGTCAAATGACCCGTCCATTTATTGACTCAGCGCATTTTGACCCACCCAAATTTAGCTCAACCTGCCCATTTGACACCTCTATATACAATCTAAAAATGATTAATGTTAGAGTCAATTATCTACAACAGAATAACCTAGCACACCATCTATTTAATTTATATAGCACATTTTGACTCGGCACAGAGTTTAAGAAAAAAAATCTTTTGAAATTTGTAGCATTTAAAGCATAAAGGGTAAAAGCTTTGTGGGGTTATAATATTTGTGTGATAAAAACTTCTCATCAAAGTTATTTAAAATTATTTTCAATTATAGATTGTATCATTATTTTTGGAACAGACTAATAAAAAAATATACCGTATAAATTAAAACAGAGAAAGTAGTATATAAAAAACCAGTGGGGGCCGTTGTTGGAATAAATGAAAAATGAAAGAAACATTATTAATTGACAGATATTATTTTAATTACATGTTCTTTTTTACATGAGATCAATAAATAAAACATAAAATATAACTAAAATAATTTTTTAAATTCAAATTGAAATTTATCAAAATATCTCACTTTGTATATTATCAGCGCATCAAAATTAAGTCCATTAAGTAAACCAATGAGCGGGAAAAAATAATGTTTTAAAAGTCGTGGGCGTAAGGAGGGGCGTTTTATATATGTCTCAGCGAGGCGTAAGCCCCATATGTATTTAATTTTTAATATTTTATAAAATAATATACTTACAGTAAATATTTATAAATAGGTAAAATTACATAAAAATTGAAGAAAACTATAAATATGTGAATATATATATATATATATATATATATATGCTCCATCCCCACAAAAAATTAATCAAGACAATCTATTATACGTTATTTAGAAGTACAAGTAACTTGAGTCGAAAAGAATAAAGTTTTCTATATGGAGAAACAAAAAGGATGACTAATTTGCAATTTGAACTTTGAACTTGGTCCTACGAAGGAGAATGTAGTTCTCTTTGTATTTGTAAAATCTTTTTTTAAATATTTGTTGCTTTTAGGAGATATTAGCAAATTAGCGAACAAGATACAGAATTGGGAAAGACTATAAATTAGGACGTCAATCAATAAAAAAGATTTTGACTTTTAAATTTAATATATTTCAGTTCTTTTTTAAAACTTTTGAGTACCAAGCTGACTTTACAAGTTTCGGTATTATATGAAAGACTTATTCAACAAATTTTATTTTAATTGGAAACAGTCTCTTGAGCTTACGCCTCACTAAAACAAGCCTCAAATGCTCGGGCGTACGCCCCGAATTGCTGGGCAGCCTGTTGAAACTTTCATCCCCACACCACCTTTTAAAACTAGGAAAAAAGAAAAGAGTAAATTATTGAGCGGGAGCAAAGGTAACCCATCGGGGCTTTTAGTGTTAGGAGGAAAAGTTACAGTAGTAAAACCCTTGAGTAGCTTCCAGTAGTGATCAAAGAAGAAGAAAACGACGATCAACAAAGGTATTTTTCCACCACCTCCTCCTCCTTCTTCTTCTTTGGAAATAGCAACCATTTTTTTAATTTATTTTGAAATAAAATTTACATATTTAAATATTGCATAAGTAGTTTGGAGTAGTAATTTTAAAGCTAAGAATATTTAAAAAGATACTTTAAAAATTGTTGTCAATAAATTGAGAAACAAGAGTAACTACTTGAATATTTGATGAAATAGTTGAGGCAGAAACAATCTCAGTGGTGGAACCAAAATTGCTATACCTAAGATTCAAACTTGTGGCTTCAAGTAACTTTTGAACCCTAACATTGGATTGTTTTTTTTTTTTAAAAATTTTATGTCAAGGGATTCAAAAACTTGTATATATATAAAACAATGATTTTTATCCTATTCAAAGACCTTAAGCAGTTTTTGAAAAACATTTATCACTATATTTAAATTTTCCCTTTTGTCAAGGGGATTCGAAAACTCAAAACGATTTGTGTTTTACCCTATTTGCATTCCATTGAACCCCTTCATTGAACTTAGTTTCGCTGCTAAGCAGCCTTGCTTGGACAACGCCGTCATAAAGATTAAAATAAAATGAAACAGAGGGATTATTATTAAATTGTAGATGCCTGATGATATATTTTGTATGCTTCAGGAGGTAGTATTTTAGTAGTTCTGGACTTGTAAAATTGTTGTGTAATGTTGTGCTGGTTTTGGTGTTCATTTTGGCATGTGTAATAACATATTGTTGTTTTATCAGCGTATGTTAATTCTTACCAGCATATTGCTCATTTTGTCATTTAATGAATAGAAATATATTTGTCACATGTCATGCCCCCTTAATTGTTACTCCCTTCCTCCCAATTTATGTGGAACTCTTTTCTTTTTATTCCGCCCTGAAAAAATGTCTATCTTTCTATATTTGTGTCCCCTTGTCCATATCCGTGCTATCTACTTTAAGTACTTCTTTCATTTCTTGAACAATTTTTTACATCTTTTACTTTGAGAGCTAGAAAATCCATTTCGTTCGCCCTTATCTCGACTCTGGACTAATTACTTTCTATCTCATATCAGCAGTGGTTTGCTAAATCATTAGAGTCTTCATCAGTTAATTGCTTTAAAAATGGACAACGAGCAAGAAACCAAGGTTCTCTTGAAGCTTTGGGTGGATGAAAAGAAAAATCAGGTAGTTGCAGCTGAATCCGGAGTAGATTTCATGGACATACTTGTTAGCCTTCTCACTTTACCACTGGGAACGATAATGCGACTCACTAAAGCAGAAGCCGGAGCTGTTGGTTGTATGAACAACTTGTACCACAGTGTTGAAAACCTTGACGAGGAAAATCTGTTCGCAGAGTATTGCAAAACCATGCTGCTAAATCCAAGAAATCCCTATCCAAAGTATTGCATGAAGTTGAAAGTTAATGTGGATGATTCAGACTCCGAGAAGTATTATCAGTGCTCAGATTGCTCATTTATGAGCTATTTCATGAATGTGAAGTGCCAATGTGGAGGGAAGACTAACAAAGAGAAGTTTTTGAAAGATTCAGTTGAAAATACTTGTCGTGATAAGTACATATTTCTCAAAGGAGGGATATCATTTCTAATCACTGACGATTTGCAATTCAAGTGTGCTTCTCCAAGCTCTCTTGTTCAGATGCTTTCTAATGGTGGCTTGAGTGATATGACTCATATCAGGGAGATGCTTGTAGAAGCTGGCAAGAATGAGGTAATATCCTTACCCTTTTGTAAATTGCAATAAGGTCAAGAAAATTAGTGATTACTAATTTACCAGGACTTTATAAATCTAACTACTCCCTCCGTTTCAATTTATGTGAACCTATTTCCTTTTTAGTCCATGCCAAAAAGAATGACCTCTTTCCTTATTTGGAAACAATTTACCTTTATGCAATAATTTATAGCCACACAAAATATTTGTGCCTCATTTTACACCACAAGTTCAAAAGTCTTCTCTCTTTTCTTAAACTCCGTGCCCAGTCAAATGAGTTCACATAAATTGAAACGGAGGGAGTATTATTCTGTCTTTCTGGTGATACGTTTGCTTGTACGTTTAAAATGTTTTGTTGTGATTTTTCGTATATTGCAATTAGCAGCTAGTAACATGATCCTTTTCTCGACCATTTAGGTAATTCATCTACTTGCACGTTCATTGATCTCAAAGACTCCCTTGTCTGATGCATTTCTGCCTAAGCAAAAACAAAAAAGAGCAAGACTAGACACCATCACAATGCCTGAGTCTGGAAATTTGTCATCCATTTCTGAAAATGGAACAAGTAATAACACCAAGAAATTGGAGCTGAGGCTAACACTAAGAAAGTCTACAAACAAGGTCTTGTGCGCAGAGGCAGGCAATGAATTCATTGATTTTCTCTTCAACTTCTTGACCATTCCCTTAGGATCAATTGAAGATGCTCTAAAAGGGAGTTGTGGGTTGGGTTCCATAGATAACTTGTACAAAAGTGTGGAGGCTTTAGATTCGAAATGGTTCAATACGCATGCGAATAGGAATGTTTGGGGAAGTGTGGAGAATCACAATCTTAAGAGGATATTACTCAAGCCTGGTATTGCCCCTTACCATAATCCTGAGAATCCGCTACTGCAAATCGGAACTGCAGATACTTACTTATTTGACCCAACGGACCCTGTAAGGAGCAGTTTTCTTGGCAAGTTCGGAAAGTTTGCTGAGGCACCCTCCCTTTTCTATGTTATAGACAATTTGGAAGTGAGACCTCTGTCTTCAACATCAACTATGTGCTTACTCCAAGAACTAAATGTGCCTATGTATGATATTGAAGAGCAAGTGATCAGTGTTGGCAAGTCAGAAGCATTGAGTTTGCTGAAGGCCTCTTTAACATCATCATCATCATCAGCTTTGACGAAGGGCCTAAACCACTTGTTGAAGAAGCAGATAGATGAAGATGTGAAGTGCAACCTGAAAGTTTCTCAGGCTGGTTAGCAAACACATGTACTACTTTTGCAGTACTTTCACTGTATTTGCACTCACTTGTCTATATCTTCTTGTGTTTAACCTCAAAACTTGGTCCCCTGTACACCAAAATCTTAATGCAGAGTTGAGTGTTTGCCAATGAATCAGTATGGGCAGACATCTAGGAACTACATTTTCGAAGGAAAATAACATGAACTTTCACTCTTTTGACTCAAACTCTGTCTATTTAGTGGGCAGCAAGTCCCCCATGGCTTGTAATATTGCTACTTAACTCTTTTGATGGTATATANAGGTTATGCTTCTATTGGGATAGTATTTTGTACTGATGCTTCTATTTGCGTAAGCAATACATACTCCATTCGAATTCATTTAACAACTTTCTATTAGGATTTAACTTATATACAATGACACGGTACATCATTTCAGTATAGTTTAATCTAAGTTATAATTTTAATAGATTACTTATCTTATTTTCTGGGTTATTAGTTTTACTTAAGATTCTATTGCCATATATTTGACTAAGTATATATTTACCTACAAATACATGATTTGAAATATAAAATCTAGAAAACTAAATCAAAATCTAAAACTCAAATCTTTCTGTTGTTGGCTTGGATCTATAATTAATCCTAAGGATCCTTAGGATTGGTATTTTTTTTTTTATGTCCTGTAGTTTGTAGTTTTCCTGAATCAAGCTAAGTATCACAACTCGTTCTGCCCATCCCGTATATTATCCCCTTTGTTTCATGTTGAAATAGATCCTTAATAGTTACTCTCTTTCTCCTAATTTATTTAATACTTTCCTATTTTGTCTATCCCAAAAAGAATGTCATACTTCCTTATTTATAAATAATTTAACTTTAAATTTTCTATTTTACCCTTAATGAGATGATTTATAACCACACAATTTTTTTTCCTTTCTTTATTTTTCAAGACGCGTGCAGTCTCTTACTTACAGTAATAAGCGAATTTTGTGACAGAGCCTATTAGAGTCGGTGGGAGACCAATGATTTTGTTCAAGCGGGGTCAATTAGGTGATGCAACATTAATAAGATGATAGTCTTCGATAGGAATTACATTTTACAACAAAGTCAATTGTGTATGTTTTTTTTCTTTTCTTTTTTCAATAATGCCCCTGAAGAATGTCATTTCGAGGTGGTATTAAATACATAAAATAAAATAAAGAATAAATACAACTTCATAATATAAAGAAGTATTAAAATTCAAAAATGAACAGTAAATACACAAGTTTGCACATATTGATACAAATAACTTTAAAAGGTATTAATCTACAAATAATAAATAATATAACATAAATTAGAACAAAAATTAAAATAACTCAATATGACACAAATAATAAATTTTAAAGAAACACTGAGCTAACAATTTCAATATATTAATTAAATTGAACTAATTTAATATAAAATTGATAAAAGATACAAAGGACAAACTGATACTGGAATTGTAAGAAGTGAGGTAAAATGCTTTTCTCCCCACAGCATATGCTGCCACCGGTGATGAACTCACCATGACTATTCAACGTCAAACTCAGAGTTTTTCTTACTACATAACAATGGCGGATGCACGTTATATACTATGGGTGCTTAAGCACCCATTGCTTTTGAAACAACGCTACTACTTATATAGAAAAAATAATAATTTATACAAATATATTAGTAACTAAGCACCCTGTCTAAGTAGCAATTTTTAAATTAAGAATAATTGAGCACCCACGGTCTAAAAATTCTAGTTCCGCTATTGCTACATAAGCGGCTAAATGAAGCCCAGTCTTGATTTGTCAAACCTCAACCCCCTTATTAGCTTCGTTGTTGTCCCAAACGGATTCATTCTTCAAGTCTAATACACATATGCTAATAACAAAAAATTTCAACCAAACAGCCCCCTGATCCGAGTAGATACTTACCTATATATATCATTTCAATAGTTTAACAAATTGTACTATATTACCTATAACAACATTGTAGAGTTAGATTTCTAGTCCCATAATTTAATTAATAAAAATTGTGCAAGAAAGTTCGTTTTATAGTTGTAACCCAAAAGTTATTCAATATTATCATTTTGTAACATAAAAATGACTTAACGTTTGCCATTTCATAGAGAAAGTCACTCACAACACCCATGTAATATTTTTGGCAACTTGGCCGTGATAACATTTTTTTGAAGCCAAATAAAAAAATAAAAAACAATTTATTATTCTACTGACCTCCTCTCCGACCGAGAGGGAAGGTAAGGAAGCCATCATTAGAGTGGAAAACAAAAGGTAGCGGGTCTGAGTTATTGGTGCGAGTCACTAAAGTAATGTCTGGTTTTTTATTTCTTAATTGTTTGGCTTCATAAAAAGTACGGAAAAGGGAAAAAAAATGCTATCTGAAATAGCACAAAAATGTCTTCTGCTTGTTTTTGGTACCAAACATATCTTGTTGTCTATATTTTGGACCATAAATGTCCTTAAACTCTTAATTTTATCATTGAAGGTGACATGACAGTCCAACTGGGTTAGATTTGCTTACATGACCATCCACCTAAGCAATTCAACATGGCAAAATTATTTTTCCGAAAAAAAAAATACAAAATCAACACTTATTCCGAAAAAAATAAAAAAAAATTCTGGAAAAATTATTTTCCGGAAAAAATATTTTTCCAGAATTAAAAAAAAATACAAAATCAATACTTATTCCGAAAAAAGTAAAATCAATTCCGGAAAAATTACTTTCCGGAATTTTTTTTACTTTTTCGGAATATATGTTAATTTTATATTTTAATAAAATATTCCGAAATAAATAACTTTTCCGAAAAACTATATAACGATTTAAGGGCATTTGGACCACAAAATCAACACTTATTCCGAAAAAAGTAAAAAAATTTCGGAAAAATTATTTATTTCGGAAAATAATTTTTTCAGAATTTTTTTACTTTTTTCGGAATAAGTGTTGATTTTGTATTTTAAAATTTTTTTCAAAAAAATTAGAAAAATAATTTTGCCATGTTGGATTGCTTAGGGATGACCATGTAAGCAAATTTAACCCAGTTAAACTGTCATGTCACCTTCAATGACAAGACTAATAGTTTAAGGGCATTTGTGGTCTAAAATATAGACGACAAAGATATTTTTGGTACCAAAAACAAACGGAGGGCATTTTTGAGATATTTCAGATACTTCAAAGACATTTTTGACCATTTTACGTAAAAATAAAAGTATTGCCGCGTCTGCGAGTTGCCAAAAATATCATAAATGCAAATATTTCGGTGATTTTTGTTAAATGACAAGAGTTGAATTACTTTGTTGTTACAAACTAAGAAAAATAATTTTCTTGTATAATTTCTATTATTAATTGAGAAATCTACTCACATTTGTATTATCAGTGTGACAAAATTAAATCAAAGTAAACCATTGGGCGGGAAGAAAAAAGAGTAAACTATCGATGTTTTTAGTGTTACGAGGAAAAAGCTACAGTATTAAAAATAAAAAGTACTATAATTTTTACAGAAAAAGAGACTAGGCTCAGAGAAGAAGAAGACGACAGTAATTTTTCCTTCTTGTTTGTCTTTAGCAAGAGCACCCATTGCTATTATTCTCTGATCAGAGAGTATAAGTAATGGATAATGTACATATGGAAGCTCCTGTAGGTATTTCATATTTGCATAATACATTTCATTGTTGACACCGCAACTCGATGAGGTGATCGATCATTCCTATTTTTGTTTCTATTTAACTGTCTAGTCTTGATTATACGGTCTAACAAGACTGGGAAACACTCATCATGCCATTTGTGTTACAATGCAGAGGTGTTTAATGTAATTTACCCTTATTTTTGTATATATGAATGCCTTTTTCAATCAAGTAAAATTATATATTATGAATGTTTGTTTGATTTCTGCTACTCATTCAAGAGGCATGAGCAGTTTCCTTTGCTCTTCGATTTGGAGCACTGTGATGGTTTAATTCAATGGGTTTTGAAGCAGGTTGTTACAGGAATTGCTTTGCCATTAGGCTCGGATATGCTATGTTCAGGGAGTACGGACAAGACCAGTGGCAGAGCTAAAGAGAGGCATGGGCCTTGCCAGAAAATTGCACTGCGAAATAGGGTAAAAATAATTATTTTAAGGATTATATATGAGCAATTGAATCAACATTTTCAACTGTAATGGTAAGGGGGTTCAAAAGTTGCCTTAAATTACTGAGTGCAAATTTTAGGTGTGACATTTTAATATGTTTTGAATCATCTTGTATGAATATATGGCACCACTGGACAAGACATTGAATGTAGTGTTATATTAGTTTATAATGTGATATTTTAGGTTGAATGTGAGAGTCGAACTATCTAAATTTTGGTGTGGGTTTGGGCATTGATTCCTTAATAATTTTTTTAAAGTATAAGGTTTATATATTTTTAATTTACATCGGGGCGAGGGAACTCCATGACTTGTTGATTGGGAGAGTGATTATGGGTTTTACATGTTTCTTACATCTTTAACAGTAAGGTGGAGGTTTTGAACAAGGTTTTATTTGATATGAGGTTATTTATAGGTACCGGATTTACTAATGAGCAGCTATTATGGTCAGAAGGATTCACTATGAGTACATGGGTTAAGTGGTACGTTGTGCGATTGTATCTTGGAACATGCTTATGGCTTGATGCAGCTGGTTTAGGATTGTACAATGTATACATGTGAGGTTCAGATCTTATAATGAATTTCGGGTGTTGGATATTGGATTCTACGGTTTATGGACTAAAATTGAAGAAGGAATCTTCACTGGGTTATATTGTCAGGCCTATATGGATTAAGGTAATGTGGGATCACCGTGGGTATGTGTATGGCGAGTTTATTCAATGATTTGATGGCTCCGGAGCGACTCTCGGCACGTTCGTCGAACGTTTGTTTAAGAAGGGGAGAAGAATGTAACGACCCGATCAGTCGTTCTGAGCTTTAGCATTCCGTTCGGTGGTTTGAGGTCTTGAGTAGTTTCATATGATGTATTACGACTTACATGTATGGTTGGTTTCGATGTTCGAGAGGTTCCAGGTTTATTTGGAAGGGAAATTTTCAATTTGAAAACTTTAAGTTAGAAGAGATGATCGAGGTTTGACTTTTGTGAGAACGAACCCAGAATAGTATTTTGATGGTTCCAATAGGTTCGGATGGTGATTTTGGATTTAGGCGTATGCCCGAAATTGGATTCGGAGGTTCCTAGA